TAAGACAGACATATCGTTCTATCTGCTTAACAACGGATGGCCGAGTACTGTTCCAACTCATGAGGAAGTACCCATCCAGATCCAGAAGAGCCAAGCTGGCAAAACGATCGCAGCATTATTACGAGGTCCAAGAGACAAGTTCGCATTCTCGGATATGCTGCCTGCCTTTGCTGGGGACACCATGTTTGGTTAGTGTGCAGTGGAATGCATTAAACGTAGGCGTCATTGCTGCTATAGGCTGTGGTAGATCGAGTGGTTAGAGGCCAAGGTGATTAGTCTTAGACTCAACGAGTATTCGCGGAGGAAGATGAGCTGAAAAAGCCCGAGGATGCTGACGAAGTTAACTGCTGGAGACCTGTAGAGGCCCCATCCGACTATGGGTCGCCTCAAGCTCGGGTTCAACTAACCCTAAGACCTGAGGACTAGTCGCTGTACTGATAATGAGTGGTACTGTCCCTGATCCTGAAGGGGTCTCTTAGCGAACGGACCTATGTATCTAGAACTAGTAGGGTAAAAGCGGGCAAGTGGCTGCTCTACGATGTATCAGAATCCCATCTCATATTTCAACTATCAGCCGGAGTGGTGAGTGGAATGGAAGCTGCTAGCAGATATTCCTCATCATCAACCCCCTTCTTCTTGGCACCCATCCGGCAAATTCCGATTTCCTCGAGGGGAACATTTTCCATCCATACGTGTCCCCGATAGTTCTTTAGGATCTCCGTCGCGTCAATGAGCCCCCCGTCGGCAGTCTTCGTGGCGTTTAAGATGGTGGCATGAAGGAACAAGCTAAAGCCTCTCTTGTCGAAGATACCGGCATCCTCAAAAACATGCCGGATTCTTTGGCATAGCGCGTCGAAATCATAGTCGAGGCATGTGGGGTGCGCAAAGAGGATTTCGGCACGTCCTGGATCTATGCCAGGAAAGGTTCCTAGGCCAAGGAGCGAGATTTTGAGGGGCTTTTGGGGAAGCAGAGGAGTAATGCTCTGAAGAACCTGGGTCGCCTCTTCAATGTCTTTGGGCTCGGGAAGGCTCATGACTCCCAGAGTGAGGTGGATGGTGCTGAGGGGTCGCACAGCGGACGTGGGAATGCTGAGATTGCCCGCACTAGTAATGTATGACTTGAAAGCGCTCAACTCCGCAGACAGCCCAGGCCGCGACAATCGAGTGACCAGTGGGATACAGAGAAAGTGTGTAGGTTTCATGGTGAAAATCTATTGTCATAAGCACCTAGATACATGTAAAAAAGACAGCCCATGTGAGTCTGGACTTATTCTCCTTTGAACTGGCTAATACCTATCTGAAATAGCGATGCTAGTTTGGTCTCCCATCCTAACAATTTTTTTGTGATAATTTAGATGGGGGATTATTCCGTTGGACCATCCGCCTCGCGGGATGTCCGGATCGACCAGGACCCACTGACCCACCCGCCCGCAACACACAACCGCAAACATTCAGACCCCTGGCCTAAGCTGGCTCCTAGCCTGACCAGAACCCCGGCCCTTCAGCACTATTTCTGGCTTTCCCCTCTCTTACTCTCCACCCTCCCCATCCTCTTCATGCTAATCTAATGTTGAATCTCTATTCAAGCTGTGCACCGTTCGTCCTAGAGGCAAACGGTCTCGGTCTGCCTGTGCTGACAACGTCACTAACGTCAACCCTGTATCCTCAACCTCGCTGGAGGACTATCACGGCCTCTAATTAAGTAGAGGCATAGAAAGAAGCCGCAGAATGGAGCGCGCTGTGGAGTGGATCGCGTTTCAATTCGCCAGATCGGGACTCATCCACTTTGTTAAGAGACGCAAGGACGGAAAACGAGGTGATTAGCATCGCATTCACCAACGGACGACAGTACACAGCCTAATGTGCTAACCGAGGCCTATCTGTAAGCTAGCCTAGGGTCTGGCCTTACATCTGCCTACTACTGACTGCGACGGATGGCAAGGCTTGTAGATGGTACCTCACCTTGATGATGAATACATTGACCTGCTACAATTACCACCTGGCGAACGCTCTGAGGACTGGCACGCAGTCCCCCGGCCGAGTCGGCCAACAAGGCGGGAAAGCTCCACGAGGAACTAAAGGTAGTCTTCAATTTGATAGCCAGATGACAGGCTTTCCTGTAGCAGGATATTATGATTCATCCCGACGGGTGTCAGATGACGGACGCTAAGTGGACTCTCTCTGGAGCAGGCTTAATTGGATGTGAGACCACATGACAGATCTTCCGCCTTCGGAATCTCTCGCTTCCTGAAGGGAGATACTGGAATTGACTAGCAGTCCCACGTAGCTATACACGTGCCTCCCTTTTCACCACTTTCCCACGCTGGCCTGAGTAACAACACATTAGGGCACAACCTATAAGAAGAGTAACCCCAGCACTATCTCAAATAGAGGGCTCCTGTGGCGGCACTTCCAGATAGGTGATCAGAACAGAAAACTAACGTGAGGGTGAGAATATATTAACATTTGCGATTGTACGATGCTGGCGTTCCTCGAAGACGCTTCAGTTCCTGGAAGACGGCGTGGTCGACCAGGACGCAGGAGGTTCGTAGTGTTACGACCCGTTATGCATGGATAACAGTTGACTGACCCACCTGGGCGTCGGGCGGCTAGGACAGGGCATTTGTACTGCAGGATCACGGGAACAACAGGGACTCACTCGGAAACGGAAGAACTATGAAGCAGGTCACGTGATGATAAGATAAGAAACGATCAGTGGAGCGCAGAAGGAAACGCTCAGCGATCAGTTGGCCATGCCAACTGATCACGATCACCTCCTGCACCTAGGTGATCACCCAGGAATAGACAAAGGACACTGTTCGGGACTTGTATATAGTATGACCTGAGCCTAGCTCAAGGTCAGACTCCCATAGCTCTTCAGCAATCAACTTGTGAATATCACTAAGGATACTTTCAGCTTACCTTCACTGCGAATTACTTGTTGAGTCTAAGATTGATCACCTTAGCCTCTGAAGACTTGATCTACTACAGCCTACAACTTACGACCTACGACCACGACCCCAGTGTACTGTTTAACGTCAATCCCCAACTTCTGTTAGCAGACCCTACTGTCGGATAGCTGACCGTAACACGTAGGTCACAAGTCCGACACATGGCCGATAGAATAGCTAGAGCGCAGAGCTTCCCGAGGACCTTATAACCCCCGTAAATTAAGAGGTGCCTCACGAGATCTACTAGCTACATCGCGAAGGCCGTCCGTGGTCAAACCTCGTCTTTATAACCTAACGTACTTATGCTTACGCGACTTTTAAAATAATAAAGTAGTGATAGCGACAGTTCCGAACTCCTTTATCCTCCCGATTCACAGCGCGTATAGTGGGTCACAACGCATTGTGCTAAGCTATACTAGTGGATGGTCTCGGCCATATCTCTCTGCTACGCGGCGTTGCAGCCTCCCAATCCCGCTGCATATTGGCGTCTACCTTGGTTAAGCTATATATACATGGTCCGTATCTTCCGTTAGCCGGGGAGAGGCCGGACCTAGGGGTATTGCGCAGTATCCCACCGCTAGCTTATCGCCGCTTTCACGGAGGACTGGACTCGGCTACGGTTTGACGCCACTTGCCGCTATCTTTACAAGTACAGGCAATTCGTGGTCCTTCGAAGTTAATAAGTGAGCCCTCAGTGGGCAGGTTGTTCATATGCGACTGAACTCTTGTGAAGCCCTAATTACACTGCCCCGTTTTGGAGACTGGCGGCGAGATGCAAGAGAAATAGGCCCCTACAATGCTGCTAAACACTAGAGTAGCTTAAAGATAAACGTCAGACTACCCAGTCTATTTGTGCGGAAAGCGGCTTAGACGTAGTGTTACAGTATGAGGTTATAGCCCTCACGGGATGCTGCTGCTGCTTCTGTAGTTAAAGGTATAGGTGACTACCTGTAGCTATTGGGCATCGTGTCTAGCTTCAATGGTCCTTGGTGTAACAACAAGTGTGCTCTTTGAGGCCTACCTACTAGTAGTAAGGCATCTAGTGCAGTTTGTATGTGAGCGTGGGGCTGATCTTCTTTTAACTATATGCACTATACATTTACCTGTTTTCCAACAGCAGAAACAAGGTCTGCAGATAATTGCAGTCCCTGCTACTAGCTTCAATGGTCCGAAAGGGGTCATTCGCTAGCCTGCTAGAGGCAAGGCATTGCCTTGTGTTATGTTGTGTGGGCTAATATTGTCTGTTACTTATAGGTTCAGCGCTATGGCAGCAACATTCCGCTTCCTATGTGATGGTCTATTACGACCTATTGGGTTAATTCAATGCCTATATGCATTTGCAAAAGACGAGATGGCAAGGACATACTGCATGATGAGACATTATCAGCTGCTGCCTTAAGGTGTGAGGAGATGCTGCTTATGATAACCCCTCCCCCTTCTCTCCATTCTTATGTGGCTATCATTTGAAGAGCGAACCTAGTATCTAGTTGGGGAAAACCTCCACCATCCGCACAGACAAGACAGTCCATTGTGCGTATGGAGCCCTAAGAAAGAAATAAGTAGAAAACGAGGAAAAGGAAGGTAAAAAACAAAAAAAGGAAAAAAAGAGAAGGGAAGGGAAGGAAGGGAAGGGAAAAGCAAAAGGGGCCAAAGAAAAATAGGGTTGGTTTAGCTTATTATGCACTTCTCCGTCTATTGTGGAAACGGACTGTTATGAACACTGGGACGTTATATGCTTCCCTGCCCTGTCTAAGATATCATTAGACGTTTTTGGTCATGGGATCGGTGGTGAGAAGAGTGAGGGGGCTCTAGCTGATGTTAGACGTACACAGGCTGGTGGGTGACTGCTACATGTACGTTCGGGTCTTTGGGCCCCTATTAGCTTCTTTGACGATTCTTGAGACTATGTAGTGATCTCGGTCGCAGCTAAGCTACTATCAACCAGATGTTCCACCTGAGGCACCAGTCACCTTACTATGAGTAAAGGCTTCTTGGCTTGCATAACATATCTGTAGTCCTCCGTCCTTTCACCTTCTTTAACCTCTACAACTATGACCTTAGCTCAACGGTGACGTGAACACCAGTAGCGGCCCCGACTGCTGTCAGCCTGTCCCTTAACTCTTCAGCCCGTGATGTCTCACCGGCTGTCCAAACCTCGACCTTGAGCTGCCTTAAGCTTGAAGGCCTAGCCTCCAGGTACTCCGTGATTTTAGCCTCGAGTGTGTGCCACCTTGGGACGCTTGGGTCGTCCGCCTCCCACTTGATGTCGTCCCATCGGGAGTGCCACCAGAAGAACATTTCGTTGGTGACTGTGATACACTCGATGCTAGCGGGGAGCACGTCGGCGAGCCTCGCCGAGTTATCTGTTCTCCACCCTAGTAGTACAGGTAGCGAGATAGTGACGCGCTTAAGCTGTGCGAACCCCCTGAGCGACGCCAGCGTGCCCCGAATACCCCACGGCCCTTTCTCGCCGCAGTCAATGGCTGTGGATGTCCAGAGAATCACGCTGAAGGAGAGCTCCTCTAGCGAGTGCTTCAGGGTTTCGAGCGATGTGCGCAGCGCGTCCAAGTCGAGCCACGACCGGGCGTATTCGGCATCGATGACATGCTCCCAGCGGAGAACCTCCAGGTCCGGGCATGCTCGCACAAGTTGGTCCACACTTGCTTCAGTCAGCTGGGCCTTGCTCATGACCAATTCTTTAAGCTGCGTCGCGGAGACGGGTCGTCCCCCGGCTGGCCACGAAACCAGCCGTCCACCGTCCTCCACGCGGTGCATCTCAAGGTTGCGGACTTGGGGAAGGTAAAACAGGGGTAGCACAGTGTCTGCGCTGACGTAAAAGCCGAACTCCGCGGCGGGGTCTTCGTCCGGGTATGGTACGACGATCCTGGCCGTCTTGACGTGTGCGAAGGCCGCATTGCCGGCCGAAAGCATCTGCCGGCAGAGGAGGGAGATAACGGGGTCTCCTAGTGCTATAGATGCGGTTTGCTCGTCGTCCTCTTCATCTTCGGCCCGGTCAAAGGTCCGGATCTCGAGTGTCTCCAGAGCAGGCAGGCGCGACAGCAAAACAGCGAAAGCAGCGACGGCTCCTGCCGGCTGCATTTTGTCCACTTCTTCGTATCCAGGAGCAACGGCGTCCGCGTGCAGTGGCAGCATCGGCCCTGCAGCATGCGTCACGGGCTCGGCCACCTTCCCCAATGTCGAGCGCTGCATCGCCGTCTCCGGCTCCGAGCGCTCTGACGCCCGCGCACAGCACACGGCAGCATAACGGACCGCGTTCAGATGGGCTGGGCTACTCAGTAACCGGCGGATGTCCCTGATGATGGTGAAGGGCGGGAATGATGAGAATGGCGAGCTGACCAGGCGCACCTCCGATCGGCCTCTGTCCCATATGAGAGAGCCCGGGAGCGTTGGCAAATCGTCGACCATTTCGAAGACAGGCGAAGGTCGTCTTGGGCCCAAGGGTCCGAGGAAGGGAAAACGTCCTGATCCACGCTGGTCTTCCGCGATGGGCTGTGTTTGGCTGTGTAGAATTACCGCCGATCCGCCGTCGTCCATAGAACGACACGTGTCCTGCTGGTTGCTGTTACGCTTAGTCCTGTATGATGCACGACAATCATGCGGATACAGTATACATGTACGCGCAGGAGAACTGATAATAAAGCGTGCAGCGGAGGATCTCGTGGTGCGACAAGAGGCAGGTCGACGGGATATGCGATTGCTGATCATAGAATGCTCTCACGTTGCTCCTTCATTGGAATCTGGCCCTATCACGCGCAAGCAGGCCTAAATACAGCTGAGCCTGGAGAGCCAGAACGCTATAAAGGGCGCTTCCAGAATAGCCTACTACGGATACATGCTTCAGAGACCCCGAGACCACGAGTCAGGCAGTGCACCAACCGGGAACAGCGTGTGCCTGCCCAGAAATCGGCCCATGCCGTTTGGCCTCAAGGTCTAGGCCGGCCTCAGCGCCGGCGACGTCCGAACAATCCAGACGTCCGAGCGTCACCAGGGGTGCCAAGCCCCCATCGGCTGGAATTGGAACCTTCGGACATCATGGCACGCTGTAGGAGTTGCGGGGTGGACAACGGCAATAGATACCACCACCAACGTCTTAGGGGATAAAGGGAAAGAGAAAGAAAAAGGGAAAAAAAAAGATTGAAAATAGCTTTTATAGAAATAGTTGTTATGGAAATCCGCCCCCATATAAGCTACATATGAATTACTATTCATAATTGGTCGCAGGTGGGCTTAACAATTGAGCAGGCCGACCTCTAGCGCCTCATCACCTGCCACCACTGGAACCTGGCGGCAGCTACGTGATGGAAACCGCACCAGGATACTCACTGAGCCAGGCCGGGTCCTTCACCAGGTGTTTCGTGGCTTATAACTTAATAACATAAGCCTGCCTAGTCTAGAGAGCAACACGTAACGTGCGGGACACACGGGCCGGAGGTGGAGCAAGATGTACAGTAGAGACGGAGCTGCTCAAAAGATATTATACCCCATAGCTAAGTATGCCTCTAGGCCTAATGCTTCACAGTCTAGCCTAAGGTTAGTAATAGACAGACTGGGGGATTAGAGGCATGGACCTATTAGGAACGGGGGCTTCTCCTATTCAGCTCCCAGCTTCAGTCTCTGTCATAAGCAATAGGTAGACGGTCACACTTTATCCTCCTACGTGCATTTACCACGAACCACGCACCACCTAGACGGGAAAGATAGTGAATCCCAATAGAACCCTATATTATCTATTTTAAGTATATCTGAAAAGGTTGCAAGCATAGCTATAGTGTTCATGCATAATAGAGACTATGCGCCCAGCAGTATGATCTATAATAAGCTCTCTTTTCCCTCTAACAGCTTAGTAAAGAAGGCCATGCGCTCTAATATAGAATCGCACAGATAGCATGTTATTAGTGTGTTCGAGGTTCTATCTCAGAGTTATCCCTAAGAACAGTGATAGTCAGTCCCATAACGGGTTATGCCACCTAGGTATCTAGCTATAAGTGTAATTAAAGGATATATAATATATAAATAAGGTTCGCTGTTTATAACGTGACTATAAGTAGTAGAACTAGTGATATTATATGCAGCTAATAGACGTATAATATTCGATTAATTACGTTCAGATACTAGCATAGCACGCGAGGAAGGTGTAAGGGTCTGGGCACCCAGGCCGGAGATGGCCGGGGACAGTTCGGCCGGCCCAAGCCGAAGGGACGGAGAGGCCTGTAGACCCAGGGCACAGAGCCTTCCACAGCGAGGACTCGCCGAGTGCTCGCTGAAGGATCGGGAAAGGAGAATCTTAGAAAAGCAAGCAAAAGTAGCGCAGCAATACGAGACCTACCTTTTGGGTGCTTTCACCATCAGTTTGACCTAACCGCGGCCCGTAGCCCCTAATACCTTTACAGAAGGTTACTCGACTCAACAAACTAGTCATATAGTGAGAGCCTATAACTGAGATGTTATACTACTCTTCTACGTACATAATCTACGTGTATATAAAAGGCTTCACCTTTCAGAGAGCAGCGCTTAGTAGCCTCTAAAAGGGCGAGCATGTTAGCTAGATAGCTTTAGGGAGTTTGAGGAAGAAGGAAGCTAGGAAGTAGAGGTGCTGACACGTCATTAGTAGAACCTCGCTAGTTCAGAAATCCTAAGTTAGTATTAATAATTAGAAACCAGCTTCCTCTAGAGAGGCCTTATAAGGCTAGGTTAGTAGCAACGCATAATGCTGCTGTTATATATCTCACTAAAGCTACTTCTCACTATTCTAAGCTATCTTAGGGGCTGGTGGCTATACCTAGCGCTATGTATTCGCATAGTCTAATCTGGATACCATATAAATTATTAAAGGGAGGGCTGTTGTTCTTGCTTCTCTCGTCGAATAGAGAGACAATCTTAGGGACGTTATCGTCTTCTGTAAGCTGTTATAGGAGGTAGTTTTCCGTTTAAGCTTGTTCTTACTATGTAGTTGAACTCGGCCCTCCCGCCTAAGTTTCAATTCGTATGGCGATGTCTACTGTGGATGGTCCTTTGACTGCGGATATGTCTGTCAGAAACCGCATATCTGTTCCAAGTGGACTAGTATAATTATGTTAGTACTATCTGTTCCCAAGCCTAACGTTCTTTTGAGACGTAGCCCCGTACACTCTTTATTGGCTCCCTAGGCTTAGGCTAAGCTGGATGACTCAATGATGAGATTGTGTGCAAGAAGGACTACAAGACGCCTGGGGCTGGAATAGGCCATATTAGGTATGCTCGATAGAGGAGAAAGATTGCGACGGGGTGGGGACTAAGAGCAGTAAAGGGGTAAAAGTTCACTATGGAATGAGGAACTGTATCGAGCTTGGTCTGAAATCCGTTAAGATACTGAGTACTGTATACAACTAACATCGCTCGGATGCTGTTATTTGATCTCGGTTGCTCTAAAGGGGGGGAGGGAGGAGCACATAGATCTGATGCGTTCAGCCGAACCACACGCGTAATCAGGAGTTCTTAGTGGCTCACGATCACCCCTAGTACCCCTCTTAGTAACCTCGATGGACGGTCTTCCTGGTGTGTTTAGAAGACTGCTACTTCTCAGGTAGCGGGGAAAACTGCGCAGGCGATTATATTAGGGTGACTATAGTAGTAGAGTTAGTGAAGACGGCCGTGTCGCAGCAGTAAAGGCGACAAGTGTTGCGCTCACCTGGGTTGTATGGCACCTGCTTGTGAAGAGACCTTCTTTTCTTTTTTCCTTCTTTATTTTCCTTCATCATGGGTGCCGCTGCCGCTTCTATCGCCAGCGAACACAACATCCCCTGTTACGCATTTCTTACTACTATGGAGTTGAAGCGAATATAAGAAGAAGGTGGAATGGATGCTTAGTGGCCCTTCGTCGTGGTTTGCTGGGGCTGGAGATAAAGCGAGCTTTTGCTGGCGAAAGATGCGGGCTTACACATACTCTGTAACGAAGATGTCTTTCAAGTAACTATGCAGAAGGCCGGCTGTCCCAACGCGAACGACATGGCAGTGCTTAAGATTCCATGCTTGTAGCAACATACTAGGAAGCTGGCATAAGACAGCAACCATTTACAGCAGCCATGCGAACAAGCGTGCAATCCAAGATTGCCTCTATGATAGCAGACCTCCATTCTTAGAATCTGTCGATGTGTAGTTCTGGCTGGGAATATTATGCCAGCAAACTTTGCTGATTAGTAAGGCATCTGCGATGGCCAATGATACTGGTAACCAGAGCACGGAGTGAGTGCCATATTATGGATGGTACTGTAATGGGCGCAGACCCGACCAAACTCTACTACTATGAGGCGGTCTTCGCGGCCTCGCTTGCCCGTAAGGTCACCGGACAAGACGGGCGGACAACATACCGACCGAAACCGAGGCCTACTAGATAGGTGCGTGGCCTCAGATCGACGCTCGACCTACTACAAAGGTGAGCAGAGCTAGAATCAAGCCTCGAGACTCCATTACTCATCAATGAAGAATTACCTGACGTCTCCAATGCTAATACTCCTTCCGAGGAGGACGGTTAATGAGGAAATACAAGGCCCCTTGTCGCTAAGCCATGAGCTAGAACCGTGCGACTAGCGGCAGCATGACAAGGGGCGAGGAAGCCGCGCCTAGAGGTAATGCAGCCGCCACGATGACGGTTCTCTGTGCTGCCCGACGGCATGTGGAGATACCCGTCAAGTACGGAGGTACCCGCAGTCAAGCGTCCACGGATGCGCCGGCCACTTGGATAGTGCCTGTCCTATTTTACTGGTGGACTCGATATTCATGATTGCTCCCTCACAAGTCGGCGCCGCTAGATGCAGAACCTCGGCCTCTTTGGCTGCTTGCTCGTCCTTGTTGACGAGCCTGGCATTCCCTAACGTCCACTGTTACGCTCCATAGAATGGAGCCTACAGCAGGGCATCCGAATAGGGGTCGTTTGTGTGCCCGTTTGTCCTAGAGATAGTGCTGATCGGCGAGGTGTCGTTGTCTTGACTATTCTATTAGAGAGTCTTGCCCACAGCCTTTTTAGTAACAATCTCGCTGTAGCCTGCTGGTCGCTATCAACCACGGACCTCCGAGTCATTGATATGGGAGATGCGAGAGTGATATTCGGACTTCGCATCTGCTCGCTCTGCGTCGAGGACACAACATCAACTTGAAATGGCGGGATCCAGCGACATGAAATCTCTGCTAAAGCGGCTACGAAGGTTTAATTGCGAAGAAGGAGGAAGCTACAAGGTACCTATGGCTGTAACTTATGTTGGCTTGGGACCAGTGCGCGACTAAGAGCAGAGGGAAAGGATCACCACCTGCGACGGAAGGCTAGGCCTAGTTCGACTGTGTGGATGAGACCTCCCAGGTTGCGATTTCAATTCCATGATGTCTGGCTGCTTCTGTGATTGTTCCATCAGCCTTCTCGTCCGATATAATAC